CCATCCAACTGAACCGTGCTGAAATCCAAAACATGAGACGGATCGCAGACATACTAGATGTGCACTCGACAAACTTGGTGGCAAGGCAAGCTTGTAAGCCACCTCTCCAATCCTCTGAAGTACCTCAAATGGTCCAATATACCGAGGGCTCAACTTGCCCCTCTTACCGAACCTTATAACACCCTTCATGGGTGAAACCTTGATCAATATATTCTCCCCAACCATGAAAGCAACTTAACGAACATTCCTATCAGTGTAACTCTTATGTCTGGACTGCGCCATGCGAAGCCGATCCTGAATCAATTAACCTTGTCCCAAGCATCCTGAACCAAGTCAGTACCGAATAACCTAGCCTCCCCAGGCTCAGATCAACCCACTGGAGATCGACACCATCTCCCATACAAAGCCTCATACGGAGCCATTTCAATGCTCGACTGGTAGTGGTTGTTGTAGGAAAACTCCGCGAGCGATAGAAAATGATCGCAAGAACCCCCGAAATCAATGACACAAGCGCATAGCATGTCCTCCAATATCTAAATAGTGCGCTCGGACTATCCATCTGTCTAATGTTAAAATGTTGTACTCAACCCAACCTGGGTGCCAAACTCTCAATGCAAAGTTCTCCAAAACTATGATGTAAACTGCGTGCCCCGATATGAAATGATGGACACTAGCACACCGTGAAGGCGAACAATCTTGTGGATGTAAGTCTCAACCAACCGCTCTAAAGAATAATTAGTCCCAACTGGAATGAAGTGCGCGGACTTGGTCAGCCAATCCACAATCACCCAAATAGCATCGAACTTCCTCAAAGTTTGTGGGAGCCCAACTACAAAATCCATGGTGATCCACTCCCATTTCCACTCTGAAGCAATCCACCCGGTCTCTGATGCTCATACTTTACCTGCTGATAGTTAAGGCATCGAGCTACAAACCCCGCTATATCCTTCTTAATTCTTCTCCACCAATAGTGCTGCCTCAAGTCCTGGTACATTTTCGCGGCACTCAGATGAATGAAATACCGCGAACTGTGGGTCTCCTCAAGAATCAACTCACGTAGCCCATCCATATTAGGCACACAAATTCGACCCTGCATCTCAACACCTCATCATCCCCAATAGTAATGTCTCTGGAATCACCGTGATGAACCGTGTCCTTAAGGAGAAGAAAATGAAGATCATAATACCGACGCTCTTTGATGCAATCATATAGGGAAGACCGAGAAACCACACAAGCTAGAACTCGTCTGGGCTCCAAAACATCTAATCTCACGAATTGGTTGGCCAAGGCCTGAACATAAACTGCAAGAGGTCTCTCACAAACAGGAATAAATGCAAGGCTACCCATACTCACCGCCTTTCTACTCAAGGCATCAACCATCACATTGGCCTTCCCGGGATGATACAAAATGGTGATATCATAATCCTTTAGGCGCTCCAACCATCTCCGCTGCCTCAATTTAGATTCTTTTGTTTGAACAAGTGCTGGAGACTCCAGTGATCCGTAAATACCTCACAAGACACACTGTAGAGATAATGCCTCCAAATCTTCAATGCATGAACGATTACAGCCATCTCCAAATCATGAACAAGGTAGTTCTTCTCATGGGGCTTCAACATGCGCGAAGCATAAGCAATTACTCTACCCTTCTGCATCAAGACACACCCAATACCAATCCGATAAGCATCACAATACACTGTATAAAAGCCTGAAGCTGAAGGAAAAACTAGAACTGGAGTTGTGGTCAAGGCAGTCTTGAGCTTCTGAAAGCTCTCCTCATACTCATCCGACCACTTGAAAGTAGCACCCTTTTGGGTCAATTCGGTCAAACATGATGCAATAGATGAGAAACCCTCCATGGAGCGACGATATTAACCGGCCAAGCAGAGAAAGCTCCGAATCTCCATAGCTGAGGACGGTCTGGGCCAACTCTGAACCATCTCTATCTTCTTTGGATCCAACTGAATACCCTCACTGGATACCACGTGCCCCAAGAATGCCACGGAACTAAGCCAAAACTCACACTTAGAGAACTTGGCATGAAGCTTTTCCTCCTTCAACTGCTGCAACACAATCCTCAAATGCTGGGTATTCTCCTCCTGGCTACGAGTGTACACCAGGATATCACCAATGAATACTATGACAAACGAGTCGATATAAGGCTGAAATACATTGTTCATCAGAGAATGCTGCTGGGGTATTGGTTAGCCTAAAAGACATCACAAAGAACTCATAATGACCATAACGGGTCTTGAATGCTGTCTTTAGAATATCCGAGTCCCGAATCTTCAACTGGTGATACCCAGACCTCAAGTAAATCTTAGAGAACACCACCACTCCCTGAAGCTAGTCAAATAGATCATTAATGCGCGACAAAGGATACTTGTTCTTGATCGTAACTTTGTTCAACTGCCTATAATCGATGCACATCCGCATAGTACCATCCTTCTTCTCCTTCACGAATAGGACCGGTGTACCCCAAGGCGACACACTTGGTCTAATAAACCCCTTATCAAGAAGTTCCTAAAACGACTCCTTTAATTGTTTAAACTCAGCTGGTGCCATACGATACGGTGGAATAGAAATAGGCTGAGTGCCCGACACCAAGTCAATACAGAAGTCAATATCCTTGTCAGGCAGCATGCTCGACAGGTCTACAAGAAACATATCCTGAAAATCTCGCACCACCGAAACAAAATCAATAGTAGCAGTATCAACACCAACATCCCTCACAAAGGCCAAATATGATAAACAACCCTTCCCAACCATCCGAAGGGCCTTCAAATATGAAATCACTCTGATGGGAACATAGTCTAGAGAACCTCTACACTCAATCCTTGGCAACCCCGGCATCACCAACGTCACGGTCTTAGCGTGACAATCTAGAACAACATGACATGGAGACAACCAATCCATCCCCAAGTTCACATTGAAATCAACCATACTAAGCAATAAAAGATCAACTCTAGTATCCAATCCCCCAATAGTCACTACACATGATCGATATACACGGTCCACAACAATAGTATCACCTAACGACGTAGATACATGAACAAATGAAACTAAGGACTCACAGGGCATATCCAGATAATGAGAAAAATACGATGATACATACGAATAAGTGGAAAAAGGGTCAAATAATACAAAGGCATCCTTGTGGCATACTGAGATAATACCTGTGATCATTACATCTGAAACAACAATATCTAGTATGGCAGGAATAGCATAGAATCGGGCCTGACCGCCACCTGATCGGCCTCCCCCTCTAGGGCGACCTCTATCTACCTGGGCCCCACCCCAAGCTGGCTGGGCAAGTATTGAAGTAACTGGTGCAGAAGTCGCAGCCTGACTCCTCTACTGCACTAGACCTCTCGGGCGACGAGGACACTACCTCCACATATACCCAAATTCCCCACACTCAAAGCAACTCCCCAGGGCTGGTGGTGGGGACTGAAGGGGGCCCCGAATACCGGGATAACTGCTAGAAGAACCTGGCATAGATGAACCCTGAACCGATGAAGCACGGAATGAACTTTGAACTGGAAGGGCACTGAGAGATGACTTACCCTGACGAGCAATGTATGCACCATGACTGGATGATGTACCACGGTGAACTGGGCGAGCCATCTGCACGGGCCTATAGAGATAACCCTGGTTGTGGTAGGACTGCCCTCCAGAAGGAGCACCACCGAAGCCACCTGAACCTCGAGGCCTCTTGGCCTCCCTCTCCTCACGCTCCTGACTACGGACCATCTCTATCTACTAAGCAATATCAACCACCTCATCAAAAGTTGCACCAGATACCCTCTCCCGAGTCATAAGCAACCGCACCTGATATGTGAGGCCATCAATGAACCTCCAAATCCTTTCCCTATCAGTGGGAACCAACCAAACTGCGTGATGAGCCAACTCTGAAAACCTTATCTCGTACTGGGTCACAGACATGCCCTTCTGACGTAGTTTCTCAAACTATCTGCGTAGCTCCGCCCTGCGAGACTACGGCACGAACTTCTCCAAGAAGAGAACAGAGAACTCCTGCCATGAAAGTGGTGTTGCACCGATCGGCCTGCGCCTCTCATAAGCCTCCCACCATCTGAAGCAGCCCCAGTAAACTGAAAAGTTATGAACGAGACCCCACTGGTCACAAAAATACCCGTCGTGCGAAGAATCCACTGGTACTTATTCAAGAAGCCCTGGGCATCCTCTGACTCCGCCCCGCTAAATGATGGAGGTTGAAGCCTCCCAAAACTCTCTAGCCTCCTCTGCTCATCGTCAGCCATAACGGGACCCACCTGGGCTTGAGCCGCTACAACATGATGGGCTGGTAGTACCCCCGGTGTCTGGAGTCCCTGCATCACCTTCTCTAGAGTATGGGAGACGGGGGTATGACTACCTCCCTCGGCCTGAGAAGTGGCTGGTGCATCCTGAGCCGAAACCACTTGAGCAAGGCTAGTGCAAACAGTCAATATTAGGGCCAAAGCCTCTTAAACGCCTGGAATCACAATGGGCACAGATGGTGCCTGAGCTGGATCCACTGGCTCAACCACATCTGGAACCTGCTCCTGAGCTGGAGAAACTGGTGGATCTGCAGGTGCTTTTCTAGCTTTTGTACGAGCTGCACCGCTACCCCTACCACGACCTCGGTCTCTTGTGGCCCTAGCTGGTAGTACTGGTGGTTGACCGTCCTGTTGGGTAGCGCGCGTCCTCACCATCTACGAGAGAATAGAACAACAAAAATTTAGTGATCGAAATCAACAAATCCGCATGACAAGAATGAAAGAATGTGAATTTTCCTATGGGTTCGACAACGTCTCGAAGATAAGTACAGATGTCTTCGTACCGATCCGCAAGACTCTACTAAACCTGCTCATGACTCGTGAGACCTATGTAACCTAGGCTCTGATACCAACTTGTCACGACTCAAAACTTTTGCTATCGTGATGGCGCCTAACGTGGTACTTGGCAAGCCGACACTTCAAAATACTTCCAACACTTTTAAATGAAAAATAAGAATAACACATGTTTAAATCATCAAAACTCTCAAAAACTGGATAGAAAGTCAAAACCCAATACGAAAATTCTCAATATCGGGGTGTCACTGAGTACATTAGCGTCTATACAACACAAGTCTAAAAAATAATGTCTATGAATGACTAAAACTAACTACATAAAGTGGAAAGATAGGGAAGGAGAGACAAGGTCTGCGAACGCCGGGCATCTACCATGAAACTCCAATGATCAAGCTGCGCAAAGAAATCAACACCCACCGTGTCCGAAAATACCTGGATCTGCACATAAGGTGCATGGTGTAGAAAGAGTACAACCAACTCAGTAAGTAACAAGACTAAATAATAAACTGAAAGTAGTGACGAGCTTCACAAATATAGCTCAATTACAGAAATTACAACATAGAAAGATAGGCATGCTTTCAAATTCAATAATTAAGGCCAAAATAGTTAATTCATGTCAAGTTCAATTAAAGCGGGATATAATATCTCTCAGAAATTACATGACAATAATATATGCCAGCTGAAGTACCACAATAATGAAATCAAGTGCAAAATCTCAGAGCAACAGTCACTCAGTCCTCCTATGCTCTCCATCCTCACAGTTACTTATTCCTCTCAATCGCTCAGCACTCGCACTCAGTAGATACGTGCGCTCACTGGGGTATGTACAGACTCTGGAGGGGATACTTTAGCCCAAGCGCTATAACAAGCCAATCATGGCATAAATCAATAAAATATGCTGCGGCGTGCAACCCGATCCCATAAATTTCCTCACAATCAGGCCCTCAGCCTCACTCAGTCATCAACCTTTCCAGTCTCTCGGGCTCTCAGTAATCATGATAATCAACCCAAACAAGAATGATATAATGCATCAATAAAGAGTAATAGAGACTAAGATATAATATGCAAGTAAAACTATGATTGAGTACAAGCAGCAATTAGCAAATAATTTAATGTGTAATACGGCCTTTGTGGGTCCCTACAGTACCAACACATAGCCTAAACATGATTTCTTACATGATTTTCAGTTTAATTTCTATAACACATGGAGAAAATATGGATAACAACAGATTATTCAACTACACAGTTCCATGGAATTGACCAAGTCATCATTCCTATGGTGCACGCCCACGCGCTCGTCACCTAGCATGCGCGTCACCTCTAAACCAATCACATGACACATAATATAGGGTTTCATACCCTCAGGACCATATTTAGAACTGTTACTTACCTCAAGCCATGCAAATCCCTACTCCAACACACCCTTGCCTTACGAACCGGCCTCCAAATGCCTCGAATCTAGCCACAAACAGTTCGATACAATCAACACGGACTAAAGGAATTAATTCCATAAGAAAAATACTAAGTTCTTAATCAAAAGTTAAAAGTCGACTCAAAAGCCGGCCCCCAGACCCACATCTCGAAATCCGATAAAAGTCACAAAACCCGAAAGCCCATTTAACGATGAGTCCAACCATACCAAATTTACCAAAATCCGACACCAAATCACCACCCAAAACCCCAAATCAAACTCTCCAAATCCCTAGCGTCAAATTCCCAAATTCCATCTTAAATACACATAAACTAGGTGGGAATTTCAATGGGGAAATAATATTATTGATTAAAAATGATCACAAGTGAATTACTTCAAGAAACCCCTCAAAAATCCCCTAAATAATCGCCTAATCCCGAGCTTGAAATGTTCAAAATGAAGAAATATCGCGAACCCTTGAATTTAAATGTTCTGCCCAGCCTTTTCGTTTCTGCGGTTCATTTAGTCACTTCTGCGGCACCGCTTTTGCCGTCAACCATCCGCATCTGCGCAAATTGTCCGCTTCTGCGGACCAGCCTCCCCAGGCTCTCTACCGCTTCTATGATCCTCCACGTGCAGGTGTGAGTCCGCACTTGCGGAATTGTTTCCGCACCTGCGATACACCCGAGGCCATACCAAATATCGCTCCAGCACTGCTCCAGCCGCACCTGCAGCCAACCCCTCATAGGTATGATCACACCAGAAAACTCCGAGCTTCAGCAATGCACTAAGTCCCATTTTCGATCCGTTAACCATTTGAAATTAACCCAAGGCCCCCCGGGACCTCAATCAAATGCACCAACAAGTCCTAAAACACGATACGAACTTAGTCGAGCCCTCAAATTACCTCAAACAACATCAAAAACATGACTCACACCCCAATTTAAGCCTATTAAAACTAAGGAAATTCCAACTTCTACAAACGACGCCGAGACCTATCGAATCACGTCTGACTGACCCCAACGTTTGCACACAAATCACAAATGACACCACAGATCTACTCCAACCCCCGAAAATCTAATCCAAGCCAGGTAACCACAAAGTCCACTCTCGGTCTAATATCCAAGTTTCCAATTTTTGCCATTTCAGGCCTAATTCAACTAGTACCTCCAAATCACTATCTGGACATGCTCCTAAGTCCAAAATCATCCAATGGAGCTAACATAACCACCAAAACTCTATTCCGTAGTCATTTACTCATAAGTCAATATCCGGTCAATCTTTTCAACTTAAGCTTCCAACTTTGAGACTAAGTGTCTCAATTCATTACGAAATTTCTCCGGGCCCGAACCGACTACCCCGTCAAGTCACATAACAACTATAAATCACAAAATAAGCAGTAATTAGGGGAACAGGGCTACAACTCTAGAAACGATCGGCTTGGTCGTTACACATGAGTAAGACTAAGAGAAACGCTCAACTACCTACGAACCTTCTACCCTAATCTTCGACCTCCACACCCTCTTGTCTAGGGCCATGTCCTTAGTCAGCTCCAGTTGCGCCATGTCCCGCCTAATAACCTCTCCCCAAGACTTCTTAGGCCTACCTCTACTCCTCCTGCTGCCTACCGAGGCTAACCACTCGCACCTTCTGACTGGGGCTTCTATACTTCTCCTCTTAACATGCCCGAACCATCGCAACCTCACCTCCCGCATCTTATCCTCCACAGGGGCCACTCTCACTTTTCCCAAATAACTTTATTCCTAATCTTATCCAACCGGGTATGCCCACACATCTACCTCAACATCTTCATCTCAGCTACTTTTAGCTTCTAGGTATGAGAGCTCTTAACCGGCCAACACTCTGCTCCATATAACATAGTCGGTCTAACTACAACCTTGTAGAACTTACCTTTAAGTCTCAATGGCACATTCTTATCACATAAGACACCGGAAGTGAGCCTTCACTTCATCCATCCTGCTCCGATATGATGCGTGACATATTCATCAATATCCCTGTTACCTTGTATTATAGATCCAAGATACTTGAAACTACCTCTCATGGGGATGACTTGCGTATCAAGCCTTACTGCCATATCCCCTTCCTGGGTACTGTTGCTGAACTTGTACTCAATTTATTCCGTCTTGGTCCTGCTCAACTTGAAACCCTTAGACTCTACGGTCTGCCTCCAAATCTCCAGCCTCTCGTTAACACCACCCGCATCTTGTCAATTAAAACTATGTCATCAGCAAATAACATACACCATGGCACCTCACCTTGAATATGTCTCGTCAATGCGTCCATCGCCAAGGAAAATACGAATGGACTAAGAGTTGATCTTGGTGCAACCCCATCATAACTGAAAAGTGTTCCGAGTCTCCTCCCGCTAACCTAACTCGAGTCTTGGCTTCATCATACAAGTCCTTAATCACCCTAATGTAGGCTACTGGAACCCCTTTAGCCTCCAAGCATCGCCAGAGTACCTCTCTCGGAACTTTGTCATATGCTTTCTCTAGGTCAATGAACATCATGTGCAAGTCCTTCGTCATCTTCCTATACCACTCCACCAATCTCCTCACAATGTGAATGGCTTCCATAGTCGAACGCCCCGGCATGAAACCAAACTAGTTCTCAGAAATGGACACACTAGTCCCCACCCTCACTTCAACTATCCTCTCCCAAACTTTCATAGTATGGCTTAGGACTTAAACCCCCTATAATTATTGTAGCTTTGGATATCACCCTTGTTTTTATACAGAGGAATCATTATACTCCACCTCCATTCATCGGGCATCTTCTTCGTCCTAAAAATGACGTTGAACAGATTAGTGAGCCACTCCAAATCTGCCCTACCTGCATTCTTCCAAAATTCCACAGGTATTTCATCTAGCCCAGTAGCTCTACCCCTGCACATCTTACACATAGCCCCTCGACCTATTCTACTATTATGCGCCAATAATACTCGAAATCCTGGCGCATCTCGGAGTGCTCCAAGTCGCCCAGCACAATGTCCCTATCACCCTCTTTGTTCAGGAGTTTATGGAAATATATCTACCATCTTTGTCTAATCTGAGCCTCTTCCATCAAAACTCTACCTTACTCATCTTTCATACATTTAACTTGATCCAGATCACGAGCCTTTATCTCTCTCACCTTGGCTAGCCTGTATAGCTTCTTGTCCCCGCCTTTGTCCCCAATCTCTTCATACAAACGCCCAAACATCGCAGTCTTAGCCGCAGTAATCAATAAATTTGCCTCTTTCTTATCCCTCCTATACCCCTCCATGTTCATCCTCTTTGCCTCTTCGTCCATGCTCTCTATAAGCGTCAAGTATGCCGCTTGCTTGGCTTCCACTTTCTCTTGTACCTCCTCACTCTGCCAACAGTCATCTTCGTGGCCGCTAGAGAAACCCTTCGGGACCCCTAACACTTCTCTTGCAATTACTTTAATACACTCCGCTATCGTGGTCCATATATAGCTCGCATCCCCACTGCTCCTCCAAGCTCACCGCTGTCGGGTTGACGATACACGACCCTCTTCCTCCTCTTCCTCACAATTTCTAAGTCCATCACCAATAATTTATGCTGAGTTATGAGATTCTTGCTTGGTATAACCTTATAATCCATGCATATACTCCAATCTCTTAGTCCATCACCAATAATCTATGCTGAGTCGTGAGATTCTTGCTTGGTATAACCTTGCAATCCATGCATAGACTCCTATCGCACTTCCGGAAGACTCTTATCAATTTGAGTCTTGGCCAACGAACTCCGGAATATATCCAAGTGCTCCTCCCTTTTCAGAAAACACGAGTTGGTAATCACCAAATCAAAGGCTTTAGCACAGTCCAACAATGAAGTACCTCCTCTACTCCTAACTCCAAAGCCAAAGCCGCCATGTACACCGTCATACCCCCAGATGTCCCCCCCNCTTCCCAGAAGCACCTCTTAATCTCCTCGTCAAAGCCCACTTGAGGCGCGTAAGCATTAATCACATTTAAAGTAGACTCTCCCATAACCAACTTAATAGCCATCAGTCTGTCGTTCACCCTCCTAACTTCTACCACTAGCTCCCTTAATAGCCATAACCAGCTTAATACCCCATTCTTACCCCTCTCGTGTCATGAGACCCACAATTTAAATCCAACAGCATCTCGAGCGTTCTACCCCACCCATCTAGTCTTCTAGACACAAACTATGTTAATCTTCCTCTTCTGGAGGATTTTTGCTAACTCTATTGACTTTCCCGTTAAAGTTCCTATGTTCTAGTATCCCACTCCTAGCCTAGAGACTCCCTTGCCAGCTTTCCCCTCCCCCCATCCCACCCAAAGACATAACCTTATTCCACTATCACTCATCCCAACCACTATAATCTACGGAACATTACGCTAGAAATGTCGCTAAAACAGACAAAAGATTCAACTAAAGGAGGTAGGTCTAACACTTACAACTTTAACCACTAGAAATATGTATAGATAATAGACAAGCAAAAATTAAACTAATGATAACAATAAATATCTAAAAGAAGGCCAACAGAACAACTACAAAGAAATCAAATTACGGTCTAGAAATCCCTAAATAGTTACACAAAGAAAAATATCCAGGCAGATGCACTAAAATAATTATAGGCAATCAAGAATTAGGATTAAACTAACATAAACTAATTGGATACTAGCAAGGGAGACAAATATATTAAACAAAAAGCCTGAGGTACCAACTCCCAATTAGTACAAAACCTGGGTGAATCATTGTAAGTGTCAAGGTCGCGCTGCCGTAGTAACCTTAGTCAATTTTCCGCTGCCTCTAACCAATTTTGATGTCCGCCGCATGCTCTGATCCAGTAGTCCTGCAAAAACAGAAGGAGGGAACCAAAGGGAAAAGGGGGGAGGAAGAACAGAGGTATATGAAGAAAAACCCAACTAGCAATTCACTAAAAGGCAATAATAAGAATGACAAGAATATTATCTAGTTTACTTTAGTGTTGAAATCAAAACAGTGTTTAGCACAAAGATAATACAAAAATTCCCAAAGAAGATAATAAAAGCAAGCAATCACTTCATTATCTATGTAAAGCTTGAGATCACATGTGAGCTGGATCACTCAACTACTCTGTCCAATCTTGATTCCAGCTCTTCTGGAATCATATTCATTTCATGTCAAGATTTACAACATGTCCAGATTCATTGAATATGAGAATACTGGATAATTTCTCATAATATTCCCTACTTCGATGTTGAATATTTTTTATTTACTGGTAGAACGGTTGATAATATAACAATCAACAATTGCAGCATCATACAACACAATCAAATTAACTTTTCTAAATTGGAATTAAATATCATTTATCAAACTCCTCTAAATGAAACTAAAGTAGACTTGGACAAACAAATTGCAAATACACTTTCCACCAGAAGACATGCTGAAATGGACACATTTTGACCAATTTCTATGCTATACTGACTGAGACATATCTGAATCTGGTGCTGAATTTACTATATATGTTGCCCTTAAGTGAAGGGCTTCTATGTTATTTTCAATCTTGATAACACAATCTCCATTCAAAACTTCATAGATATTACTACTATATTCCTCATCACTTGACAAATAAAACAGAAAATATGTTATTGATTCATTATCCTTTTGAAAGAAAGCAGAATTGATGTTCAGGCAACCTAAATCTATTGTCCGCACATTTTATATTACAAACCTAGAAAGAAAAAAAATTAATATTTAACATTACGAAGAAAACTAAAAATCTGTTTGTACCTTGAGATTGATTCAAACACCATGCAGAGCAAAAAGAGGAATATCAGCTAGTGACAATTGCGTCTTCTCTGAAGGTCCACAGGAGTTCTAAAATACACATGCAAGAGGAAATATTTCAATTAAGTAGACTCAAAATCACAGAAATTAACCTACAAACCCAAAAAAGCTAAAATTTACAACCTAAAATACATAATGCAGAAGGAGAAAGAGGACTTACATCTCGAATTCAAAAACGAGTGTTATATCCCTCTTCAAAATACACCGATTCTATCAAAAATTTTGTTACCTTCAGTAGAGAATCGAAAAACAGAAAAGCCACAAATTAGAGAAAAAATCAGTAATGGGAAAACACAAATTAAAAGAGAAAATAAACCTAAAACACACATGTAAGAAGAAAGAAGGACAGAAAAACAAAATCAAAGAATGGGAAAGAGGAATTACCATAGATCTGAACCCGCATCGTTCAAAATATAACCAGGAAGAAAGCAAAATTTCGCATCTCTTTCATCACGAAGAAAAAAATTACCATACAAAATTTCGCATCTCTTTCATTGTTTTTAATCTTCAAGTGAGGGTTTTTAAATTTTTCAAGTGAAAGAAAATGGAAGCTGAAAAGCTTCTCTTTTGTGAAAGTGAAGGAGGGGTTTGGGAAAAAAAGAGGGAAAGGATTAAAAAAAAAAAAAAGGGGAACAATGGGGTCAGTAGGTGCTTTTTTTAAGGGTGACAGAGGTTATTAACCTCCGCAAATATAATATATTTGTGGGGGTGCATAAACCCCGCCAATTTGATATAAATTGCGGAGGTTACAATAACCGCCGCAATTAAACCTCCGCAAACTCACCATTTTTGTAGTGTTTTTAACAATTTACCTTGACCTTCCTTTATAGCCAGTCGTTGAGGGACCATATTCTCAGTTCAATTTGATTAATCCCAACTCCAGTAGATTCTTTTCAATTTGATTACCTGGTTCTCTGTTTTGTAAAACTTCATACAGATGAGACCCTTTTCAACATTGTCCCTCAGAAAATGATGTCGCACATCAATGTGCTTTGTCCTCTTATGTTGCACCAGGTTCTTTGCCATGTTGAGAGCACTTGTGTTATCACATAAACACATTCAGAGAATACACCAAAATATTCCAGTTATTGCTTGATCCACAATATTTGGGTACAACAAGAAGCAGTTGCTACATATTCAGCTTCTACAGTAGAGAGGGATATACAATTTTATTTCTTTGTACCCTATAAAATTAAGCATGACCCCAGAAAACATGTCATCCTAGATGTACTCTTTCTATCCACCAAATAACCAGCATAATCAATATCAACATGCCTAATTAAGTCAAAATTGTCTCCTGAGGGATAACATAGAACCAGGTCCTGTGTTTCTTTGAGATACCTCAAAATTCTCTTAGCATCTTTGAGATGATATTCTTTTGAACATGATTGGAATCTAGCACATAATCCTACACAAAACACAATGCTAGGTCTGTTGGCTGTGAGATATAAGAGTGAACCAATGATGTCCCGATACATGGTTTCATTCATAGGGGAACCAAGTTCATCCATGTCTAGACGAGTGGCTATGGAAATAAGAGTATCAATAATCTTTGATCTTTCTATCTCAAACCTCTTCAGAAGCTCTTTAATGTATTTCTACTGACTTATCATCATTCCCTTAGAGGTTTTATTAAGTTGCAGACCTAGAAAGAAGTTCAGTTCCCCCATCATACTCATCTCAAACTCACTTCCCATAAGCTCGGCATACTCTTCACATAAGGAATTATTTGTTGCGCCAAAGATGATATCGTCAACAATGACTTGCAAAATTAGCAGGTTCCTCCCTCTTTTCTTCAAAAAAAGAGTGTTGTCAATTTTCCCTCTTGTAAAGCCATTTTTCAGAAGGAACCTGGACAACCTTTCATACCATGCATAAGAGGCCTTCTTTAAACCATATAGGGCCTTATCGAGCTTGAATACATGTTCAGGATGCTCATGACATTCAAAACTAGGTGGTTGTTTGACAAAGATTTCTTCTTCAAATATCCATTCAGAAATGCACTCTTGACATCTATTTAGAACAATTTGAATTCTATATGAGATGCAAAAGCAATGAGAATTCTGATGGCTTCCATCCGTGCAACTGGAGCAAAAGTCTCATCATAGTCAATTCATTCTTCTTGATTATAACCTTGAACCACCAACCTGGACTTATTTCTTGTTGTATTTTCAAACTCATCAAGCTTGTTTCTTAACACCCAACTAGTTCCAATAACAGTTCTATCTAAAGGTCGAGGAACCAGGTGCCACATGTTGTTCCTCTCGAATTGATAGGGTTCATCTTGCATAGAAGCAATCCAGTCAGCATCTTTCAATGCTTTTTTGATATTTTTGGGCTCAATTTGAGATAGGAAGGCTGAGAAGGCAAACATGCTTCTTGTCTTTGATCTAGTTTGAATTCCTGAATCAAGAGGGGTGATCATATTCTTGAGAGGATATGAACTTTTGTGCTTTCAGTTAGACACTTGAGTGTCATAGTAAGAAGAACCAGGTTCCTCAGAGTGGGATCCATCATTAGCATCCATGGAAGAGTGAGTGCCACTTCTCTACTCAATATCAGGAGTTCTTTGCACCATATCAGCAACACTTTTTTCTGCTTTGGTTGTCGTAATGGAGGAACCAATTTCCTCTGAATCAGCTGGAGGTTCTGGTGCATCTTCTTCATTAGACTCCTTGAACTGACTCATCAGATCTACCTTCCCGTTTGCCATATCAATTACTTATCCAGTAACCTTTGAATGCTCTTCGTCTTGATCATTCTTATCATGTGAATCTTTCCTACTTAAGTGGTGTGATTCATCAAAGATTACATGTACGCTTTCTTGAATATATTTAGTCCTTTTATTGTAGATTGTATGCTTTGTTTTGTGAAGAATATCCAAGAAAGATCCCTTAATCACTTTGGCATCAAATTTTTTTAGCGCTTCCTTACCATTATTGAGAATAAAACATTTACAACCAAATGTTCTCAGGTAAGTCAGCTTGGGTTTTCTCCTGTTTAGCAATTTATATGGGGTCTTATTTAGAAGGGACCTAATCATACACATATTTATCAAATAGTAGGTAGTGTTCATTGCCTCATCCTAAAAGATCTTTGGTACACCATTATGAATTAGTATCATCCTTGCCATGTCTTCAAGAGTCTTATTTTTCCTCTCCACCACCATTTTGTTGGAGGTGTTCTGGGAGCTGAAAAATTATGACTAATACCATTTTCAACACAGAATTCGTCAAATTTTGCATTGTCAAACTCAGTACCATGATCAGATCTTATGCTTACAACATATGGTGCATCTTCACTTGAATCTGCTTCAGTAGCAAAAACTGGAAAAGTTTCATCCTTGGTTTCGAGGAACGAGGTCCATGTGAATCTGGAGTAGTCATCTATAATGACAAAGATGTACTTCTTTCCTCCTCTACCGGGCATCCTCGTAGGTCCACACATATCCATATGGAGAAGATATAGTGGTCTTGAAGTGCTTACTTCCTTCTTTGGCTTGAAGGAGGACCTAACTTGTTTTTCTTTCACACATGCATCACATACTTTGTGATCCTTAAACTTTGATTTTAGCAGCCCACAAACCAAATCCTTCTTGACTAGTTTGTTCAACAAGGAGAAACTTGCATGTCTTAATCTTCTATGCCACAGTTCAACATCATCATCAACAACACTCGAACATGTAAGATCTCCACTATTTAGAGACTCAAAGTTAGCAACATAGATGTTTTTGAATCTTTTCGCCACCAGAACCACTTCACGAGTCACAAGATTGGTGACTGTGCAAGACTTTGATAAGAACTCCACTTTGTTTCCTTTGTCGCATATTTGAGAGACACTCAACAGGCTATATTTCAGGCCATTCACATAGTACACATTCTCAATTGAGTGAGTGAGTGTTTCCCAATTTTTTTAATTCTCGGAATGTATCCCTTTTTGCCATTGCCAAAGGACATACTCCCACCTTGTAGGGCTTTGAGTGAAAGGACACCATCATTACTTCTAGTCATATGTTTAGAGCAGCCGCTATCCATATACTATCTTTGGATGCTTTCTTTCACTGCTCCATGCACAAGGAAATCAGAGATTAGACTTAAGAATCCAAACAAGTTTGGATCCCTTGTAGTGAGGAAAAGGGCAAATTAAACTTCTTCTTGTCCAAGCAGGCATCACCCATTTTTTATTGTAGGGACCAAGTTCCCTAGCAGTACTTTTTCAACAAAAAAAATTGTTTTTCTGTTGGGGTTGAAATGTAGCTTTACAAGAATCTTTGAAATGACCAGTTTAACCGCAATGAGTTCAAAGCTAGTTATCAGGGACAATAACATACTTACTATATAGGTTTTAAGGAGCTTTTTCCTTTTGGAACCCAATTTCTTGCCTGTTCCCCCATTATTTTTATACATAGAAGTGATAGTATCAGAAGACCAGGTCTACTTTAGAGATTTATCTAGGTCATTTTTAACCTTGCTTAGATCTTTCTGAGATTGTCTATTTCTTTCAAGTTCAGCACAAAGGCTCAATTTTACCATTTTGAGTTCATTTCAAGTTTAAGGTGTGCCTCACTCGCCACTTCCTTACCTTTTGAAGAATTCATGATGTTTTCTATTGAAGCTTTCACAAATATATTTTCCCATTTTAATTCCTCTGTTTTTTTCTTTAGATCCACAACTACTACCAACAAGTCATCTCTCTCATGCTCTACGTTTCAATTTTCTCAGTTAGAATATCCTTTTCATTCTTTAAATCCTTAATGGTTTCTTTTAAATTAATAACTACGAGTAGTTAATCATCTCTCTCATGCTCTACCTCTCCTAATTTCACAGTTAAAGTATTTTTATCATCGATAAGTTTATGGTAAGCATCAATTAGGACATTTGTTAAAGATACAAGCTTCTTTTGAGAGTAAGACTTCAAATTTCTTTGAACGTCTAGAAAGTTTACCTCATCTTCATCCTCATCAGATTTTTCCATCAGGGCAAAGATAGAGTCCGTCTTGTCTGTGTTGTGCTTGTACTGGTCTTGCTTGTGGAGAGGACAATATTTGATAAAATGTCCTAGCTTCCCTCATTTGTGACAACAATCATAACCTTTTGGTATGCTAGAGCTGCCCTTTTTCGGAATTCCTCCATGTCAGTATCATCATCACTTGAGTCACTGTTATTTTCCTTAAGAACCAGGTTCTTCTCCTTTTTGGGTTCTCTTCTTTCAAGGTCCTTCTTCTTCATTTCGTAGGTCTTCAGATTTCAATTGAGTTCGTCAATCATTAGCTTTTGCAGATCTTTTGCCTCTGTGATAGCACTGACTTTACTCTCCCAAGAACCAGGTAACACACTGAATATTTTCCTGAACAGTTTGTTCCTTGGAATACTATCTCCTAGAGAATGTAGCTCATTGATGATGGAAGTGAAGTGAGTATGCATGTCCTGAATGGACTCATCATCCTTCATCTTGAAGAGTTCATACTCAGTAGTGAGCATGTCGATCTTTGACTACTTGAGTTGAGTTGTTCCTTCATGTGCGGTTTGGAGAGCCTCCAATATCTCCTTTGCAGATTGACAAGCTGATATTCTATTGTACTCGTCCGGTCCAATACCACATACGAGGATCTT